GCTGGGGATCTTGCGTCCAGCTCGCCCTCTGCTCTCCGAGCCGTGCTGCCGTGTTATCCTTAGCCCACAGAAGATTTTTTTTTCCTTCTTAAATCTTAAGAAGGAAATACAATCTGTTCTCTGAGCAGCCGGATAACGTAAAGCGTGTGTGAGCGGTACGAGGACCCTAGAGTTAAAGCGAAAACGAGGACAAAGGAAAAACCGGATGTTTCTTTCTTTAAAGCACATGCAAGCGCAGGACTGGTGGTTTTCCAGCCCCAATACCATTGCTCTTGTTTCAGGGCAGACAGGCAAGCTGATGTACGTGATGCACAACTCCGAATATCCGCTCAGCTGCTTCGCGCTCTTCGAGAACGGTCCCTGCCTCATAGCTGATGCCAACTTTGATATCCTTATGGTGAAGTTGAAGGGCTTCTTCCAGAACGCCAAGGCAAACAAGATAGAGAGCCGGGGCACCCGCTACCAGTACTGTGACTTCTTGGTGAAGGTGGGCACGGTTACAATGGGGCCCAGTGCCCGGGGGATATCTGTGGAGGTAAGAATCGCCTTTGAAGGGTATGAAATGCAAGTACAGACAGGGAAATCCCGACGGGTTGGAGGCTAGAAATCCCCAGTCCCTTCTGTGTCTCGATTGTTTTGCTCGTCGTTTGTAGTAGATGTGTGCAGCAGACGGTTATTCATCTCCTTTTCACACCAAGGTTTAATTCAGGCAGGTAGTTTGGGCCTCAGCTGCAGCTGCGGAAAGGCCTGTCATTGAAGTGTCAACAACCAAAACCCTGAAGGGGTGCCATCAAACTAAAAAGCTGCTTCAAGTCCTGATGCACAACAGTAGTAGCGTGCTTTGGGTTAATAAGCAATCCGAGAGGGACGAAACAACCTCCTCAGCTGCTAATTCAATGCTGATTTGGGTTTTGCTTTCTGTCTCCGTCTCGAGCAGATGCAGCCCTGGGAGAGCGGGGCCTTCCTGCCCCAGGTTCCGCTCACACGGTGTGGAGATGGTCTTCTCCTCGCCAGAGGGCTTGTGGCAGGCATCTGTCCTACCCCGTGGCGTGCCGACCTCCATTGCTGCACCGTGGGGTGCGCCGCGGGCTGGCAGCCTGCCGTCAGACCGCTGCCGCACTGGCCGCTCCGTGCCGTGGCCGCTGCCGGGGGTCCGGGGGCGCCGGTTCGCGCGGCGTGGGTCAGAGGGGCACAAGCCACGGCCGAGGCTCAGCTGGGCTGAAGAGCATCTCGGATAAAGACAAGGAGCTGGGCTGGGCCGGTGTCGGAAGGGCAAAGCAGAGTAGGTCGGACTCCAGACATCCAGATATATCGGTGCCTAAGAGTCTTCAAGATAGCTGAGAGTTAGATGCTTAAAAGTCCTTCAAAACCAGAGCTTACACTTTTCTGAACACACAAATCTTATTATCTGATACGCAGTTAATAATCACACTGCGTCGACTCAGGTGGGTGTTCCTAGTCAGCAGGGACGAGGGTTGAGGAATTTCTTCACTGCAGTAAATGCAGATGTTGTAGCGTCAGCGTTGCTGTTGAGCTGGGGTTAAACAGACGCTTGTTTTACCCTAAACTTGAGTTCGGGACCAGATTTGCCAGGTGGTCTGGCTGCTTCTGGTTTAGTTCAGTGTTTTTTTCAGGGTTTGCGCTAGGACCTACTTCTGATTTGGGATCAGGCTCATATTTAGTAAAATGCTTCGAGTTCTTAAGTCCCGAGGCTTTTCCAGTGCACTCCTGAAAGATGCACGGCCACATCGGTCGTCGACCTACCAGCGCGTGGGAATGAAGTTTGGTTTTGGAAGGGGTAGAGTTGATGTGGCATTGGAACCAGTGTCCCAAGGCCTCCGCTCTTGGGGATTTGATAAAAGCAGTGCCCTTACAGGGTACGTTTTACCTCCCCGTTTCTTCCCTTCTGAAGGGAGTGCTTGCATGTTCCCAGCATGTCTTGTTCATTAATATTTGTCCTTCCTTGTGATATGCTAAATATTCTCAGTTGCTTTTATGAAAAGCATTCTCTCCCTGCCGCGCACTTCCTGGCTGTGGTTTCTGTTGCCAGGTGGAGTACTGCCCCTGCGTGATAGCCAACGACTGCTGGAACCTGCTGATGGAGTTCATGCAGAGCTTCATGGGGAACCACACTCCCGGTATCCCGTCCGTGTTTGGCACCAAGCACGACAGCATCTACAGCCCGGCCGACACGATGGTGCAGTACATGGAGCTGTTCAACAAGATCCGCAAGCAGCAGCAGGTGCCCGTCGCGGGGATCAGATGAAGGGACTCCCTGGAGCCTGGTTTGGAGCGACCGCATCCTCCGTTCTGCCTGCCTGTCTGGATCAGGAGCCCCTCGAAAAAACGGCACTGGAGGCAGCCCAAGGTTTTTCTTCTTCTCAATCTCTTTCTGCTGTTTGAAAGCAAAGGTCTTGAATGCCGTGCACATTTCTTGCGGTCCTCCTTCATGGTTTTGAGTGTGTCTGGGATCAGGCCCGTTGTTCTTTGTGCAGTGCTTCGTGCAGGGGATTGCTGTTTGTTGGCAGGAGGAGGGAAAAGGAGAAATTCCAGCCAAATGCATGTAAGGGCGGTTCCCTTGACTGCAGACAGCTACGTGAGAATTTTTTTTTTAATTTTTTTTTTAATTTTTTTTTTAGATATCCACATGTAAGTGTATTGTTATTTTTCATCAAAATAAAAAGCTGGGTTTTTTTGTGAGGAGATGGAGTCTTTCTGCACAGGAAGTCTTGTGCTGTTTTACATTGTTTATTTGCAGCTTTTGAAATTTTCTGTTGCGTGGAGACAATTCTTCAGCAGAGTTTTATCTTTGATTTGGTTCAAGAGCTTTATACCCCTGAAGCAAACTAATTTCCCTGTGGTAAAATGTACAGGAATTCTTGCATTCCTATTATGGGTATGTTCTTAGCTTGCCTTCATCTTTTATATCTGATGGGAGTATTAAAATCTCCTACCTCTCAGATGATACCGATGAAGCCTCATGATAAATAAATAAATAAGCCTGGCAGGAGCCCTCTCATGCAGTGAAAGAGAATACCAACTGCTTTATCTCATTGTTTGAAAGGTAGGTAATAAATGTCCCGTCCCTGCACACCATTCCTCTTTTGAGAAATCCTGGTGACTTCAGCAGATTTAATGGAGTAAGGAAGGATTTGGGGAGTATGAGCCAAAAATTTATTACAAGACTTAACAATATGATATCACTCGAGTAGTTTTTTTTAGTGGTGATTTAGTTTTACAGCAGGAAAACCAGGGAAATTAGATCCCTTTTGAGCTATCTGTCCCCTTGGTTTTACATGTTCAGTATCTGTCTGGCTTGTAGCTGCCATTTTTTCCCTCTCTTTTTCCCCAGCTCTGTCCCCTGCTCAGTCTTAGAACTCTCGGAAACACCCTCATTCAGCTGCCAGGCTTTGCGGTGAGCTTCCTTCGTGGTCCCCGGGAAAGCTGTGTGTAGCAGCCCATGTCCCGGACATAAAGGGTGGGTGTAGAGAAGGCCTAAGGATGGTTTTAGGAAGGGAGATTTGCAAGAAAGACAGTAGGTTCCTCCTGAAGAGGCAGTGCGCATCTTGCTTACAGAAAATCTTGTTGGTTCCTTGCCAATACTTGGGTCTTGAAGAGTCTGAAGAGCAAGTAAAACAGAAATAGATTTCTCCGAAGTAGATTTTCCCTTTTGAAGCAGTAGGGAGAAAAGAAGCTGTTTCATTACTTGATCTGCTGACCAGTGCACAACTAGTTATTTAGATGTGACTTTTTTGTGATTACCATTTATACCTGTAAACCTAATTAACTGTTAGGGTGCCTGGAGCTTTTAGTGTGGGCCTTTAATAAATTTAATCAGCGCTGGGTCCAGAAAGATCTGGTTAATGAGCCATAATAAATGGCAGAATGTACCATAAGCGTGTTAGAAATTCCAACATGCTGAATATACCAAATTTTTGCAACTCTTAGCTCAAGTTTATGACATGTGCGCTGACTTCAGTGGGCCTATTAATTTTCAGTGATGGAAATTCAGTGAGAATCTGACCTGCTGTCATTCTACATAGTTAAGTGTGGCTGGGAAAACTTAGGAAAACAAACTGTAGTCTTTGTAGGGATAGTTATTTTTGTCCTGCTTCCCATTTTAAGTCTTAAGGTTAAAAAAATACCTTTCAATGATCAGATTAGTCATGCTGAATGTTGCTAATGCTTTATTAATTCCCAAAAGATGCGTTCTGTAACCAGAGATGTCAAAACTCCGGTCACATGTCTTAAAAGCATAAAATGTGCGCTGGAATCTCTGGGGAGTTGTGTGCTTTTATTAATACATTGTACTGTTCCTAGAGTAATAAAATGGGACCCCTTGAGCCACGTTCTGCCTTCAATTACACCATTACAGCCATTGACGTCAGTAGGTCTCCACGCGTGTAAGGGTGGGTAGGATTTAGCCCTTTATGTCTTACCAAAAACGTCTGTTGCTGTAACTGCATTTTCTGTGAGCGAGAGGATCAGCTGTCCCACGAGGGGCTGCTTTTACGCTCGGGCTTTTTGCTTTCTTGATGGACAAAATCACAGTTTTTTCAGTCTTATTAGCTGCAGTAATCCTCATTCTGTGTCCCCCCCCAGCATCAATATGGCAGGTT